TTGCCCACCACCAGAGGCTGCCGAACCTGCCCTCACTGCAACAGAAGCAGCTGGTGCTGCTGCCCAACCGAATTTCCGCTGCAGGGGTTGCAGTCGAAGCCTCTGGCTGTTGCGTGAAGGGGCAAGAAGCAGCAACAAAAGCAGCAGTGCAGCTAAAGCAAATTTGTCAGAAGCTCGTTAAGAGCAATCGCAAGGTGGAGGTAGATCTTGAAGTGGCCAATCTAGATGTTCAACGGCGAATTGCTTCCTCGATGCTGGTGGCTGCACACTCAAGGGTGGAGGACAAGACAGGACGACTGTCCCCTGAAGAAGAAAATATCTTGGCGATGTGGGACGAGCGGCATAAGGTTGCTCAAGAGGCGCTCATATCGATGCAGGAGCAACTGCAAGTGTTGAAAGATACAACAGACCCGCTGGACTTCACGTATAGGGCGACCGGGGCAGCAAGTGCATTAAAGGGTGCAGCACCCCTTCTGCGGGACCTACTCAATGGACTGTCAGAATTCTTGTCCAGCCCAGCGTTCCTTGGTGCCAAACAACATCGGAAGAAAGAGGCACGTATGGAGGATGTGGTTTCCGGTGTGGAGCAGATTATGGACTTGCCAACTGCGATGAAGTCCATTGTTGAGGCAGCAGCAGTAGCCTAGCAGCAAGTGTTGGATGTGGGAGGGCAGGTAGAGATGCAGCTATCCGGGCAGAAGGACCACCCGTTGATGTATCAATTGTTGCTGGAAAGCGTTGAAAAACAACTAAAGCCTGTTTTAGTGCAATGCGAAGGTGAGAAGAGGGGCTGTCCAAAAGCGTGTGATTGAGATTTGCCAGGCCGCGCTTAGTGGCATACTTATATCGTTAGATGAACTAGGAGAGGAAACACCAGGAATCAAGGAGCATTGCAGGGCTGTGTGGAAGCTGAATGGGGAAGTGGAAATGGTGTTGCTGAAGGGAATGGTAGCACATGCTGAAAAGACCAAGGGAGTTCACTAGGAATGATAGCAGAGGCAAAGTCCCTGCAACCTTGCTACCACAGACGGGCTGGTGAACTCAAGATGCAGGTGGAGAATGCAGTAAAAGCAGCAAGGCGAGCAGACAGCCTTTCTGATGTTGTGCAGGCAGTCGGCGAGTATGCTGCTGCTAGCGAGAAGTCGTTGCAACTGGCTCGGCTGTCAGAAATACAAGGTCTACTCAAAAACTGCCAAGAAGCAGTAGCAGAGGTGTATGCAACTGAAGCAGCTAAGGAGAAGCTCGAACCCGCCTCAGCTCAAGTGGCTAAAAACCAGGAGGTAGAACGAGCAAAGGCACCAGTTCAAGCGGCAGTAACAACTGCAAGTAACCATGAAGAAGACTTCGCTAGACTAACAACAGCACGAAAAGAGAGGGAGAAGCAGGCCAAGAAGAGGAGAATGAGGAAGGTGAGGAGGAAGATGATCAAGCAAGATGTAAAACATCCCCAAACAATGAAGGAGAAAAATGAAGCGAGAGTGTAGACGAATATGAGGATGTGCTACAGTGATCAGGGAGTTCATAAGGACCACAAGAAGAATTGTGGGAAGGAGAAGAAGAGAATGCGCGTAAGCGGGATTCAGCGGGTAAAGAAGATAGGAGAAATATATTTGACGGGTGTTGCGAGATAATTCGGAAGTACGCCAAAACTGCAAATGTAATGGCTATTCTTCACTAGAGGACAAAACAGCAAGAGCGTATGGCGAAAAAGAAGGCGACTTTGAAGTTGAGAAAGCTGACGGAGCACCAGTGGAGACGAGAGACTCAGTGGCAATTTGATGTGTACATGGGCACAAATGAGGCAAAAGAGGAGGGGAGACAGAAAGGAGGGAAAAGAAGAAAGGGAAATAAAGACCTGGAAGTGCAAGGAGAAGTCTGTATCATAAAAGAAAAGGAGACAGGAGTTGTGGCAAGGAGATGAAGGTAATAATGAGGCCCTGTGCTAGCTGTCTCACGACGTTCTGAACCCAGCTCACGTGCCGTGTAGACAAGGAAGGAGGGCAGATGTATTATTCCCCTTAGCGTATCAAAGACAGTGAGCAGTAGACCGGAAGCAGGGGAGGGGAAACGGGTGCCGCGACAATGCAAAGTTGCACTCACGACATGTTTAGTGTATTGAAGTACAGCCGGGCATGTTGAGTGCAGGCTATGAGGTTACCGCACAAAGAGATTTAGATGCATTATGAGATATACGATGTATCCGTCGTTCCAAATGTAGACAGACAGCATGGGCCGGCATGCTCTAGCCGACGACAAAATGAAAAGTTGCAATTTGGTTTCGTCTGTCCTCCCTGTAGTGCACGGGAACCACAATAGGCTCTCCACTGAGCCTCTAGCGAGTTAATTCGTCTGAGTACAATATAAAGATCATTTAGCATTTAATAGGGAGATTTTAGAACACAATTGTGGTTGAATGGGCAAGTCGTGCCTGCAGCCCTTGGGACATGGGGCTGGCTGACCCGCGACTCCTCCTTGCTCTGGATGAGGCGCACGCCACTTCCTCTCTTTGAGGAAGGCAGGCTTTTAAGAAACCTGCTTGTGGAACCTATAGTAACTGGAGAATGGTATTTTATGGTTTCTAGACTAATATACGTAGGGCCCGGAATTAGTTTAGCTGTGTGAACCTAAGTTAGGCTGGGCAGAGGTCCACGTAGTGTCAGCTAGGTGACTGGGTTTCTCACCACACCTCCCGACTGAGCTTTAGAGTCTCTGCCGGTTTAGTTCAACAGAGGGAAAGTAAGCACTGGATTAAAATTCAGTAATTGTGCATAGTAAGTGATCTTAATATGTTATTGGGGTTATGGGGTGGCTGTCAACACCACTGAGCGGGATGGGAGCGCAGCCTCATCGGCGGCAGCGAAGTTGTGGCCGAGCGCTTGTTCGTGCGCGCCGCGGGAGACTTGGTTAGTTCGTTGTACTTTGCGTTCTTCATTAAATCTAGCTCTGTTATGAACAGCAACACAATCATACCTATTTTTCAACAATATCCACACAGTGGATTAAACTTAACCCACATTTACTCAGGCTTTCACGGCAAAAGCGGACTGTCACGCCGGGGACGCTCCCTGCAGGTCTCTTTTTCCCGTCGTCCCTCTCCCACTTTTTAGCTTAATTAGCTTGGTACCTGAAATGTGCGAACGAAAACTCATTAAACGACCGGAAGCTTGTGTTGTGGGCCAATTGCTTCGAAGGGCCACAAAAGCTCCGCTCCCAATGTCCCAGCTGCTGTTCCTTGTCCCCGTTTGCCGTTGCAATAGTTCAGCAACCAGCAACTTCTCAGCATCTTCATTTATTTGCGAAAGGCAGTGAAGTAGAGGAAGCACATGATGTTTCAAGCCCGGAAGCAGGAGCAGATGCTATTACTGTTGCAGGAGATAAGGGAGATGGTGAAGGAGGGTTGCAGTAGGTGTTGAATAAGGGCTTGCGGCAGGTGAATATGGAATGGATTCAAAATACAATGAAGAAGTTTGGGTGGCACGCAGTGAGGTCTGCTGCGGCTGTGTTGCTGCTGGCAGTTTTTGTTGCCGCAAGGATGTTTGCTGCTGCTGCAAAGAGCAGAGGGTGCCCACAGCGCCTCAAGAGGATGAAGGGAGAAGGGGGAGGAGATCCCGAGGAGTAAAGGGCTGAGAGAGGGAGGGAAAGTAGAAATTTCCAAAGTTGACGAGGCGTCAGCAAAACAGCTGGAGCATATTTATCAACAGTTGATCAAGAGCAATCAACTAGTGCAGGTATAACTAGGCGGCCAATCTAGCAGTTCAAGGGCGAATTAGTTCCGTGTTGTTGTATGTTGCATGCGCAGGCCTGCTGGATGCGACACGACCAGTGTCAGCTGAAGAAGCAAATCTCTTGGGGAAGTGGGACCAGCGGTATAAGGATACGCAGACGGAGCTCAACGTGCTACAACAGGAAGTGCAGGTGATATATGAGGATACGCTAGCGCAGCTCGGCTGCACCGCCTGCAGCGGCAACTGCAGGTGATGAAGGATACGACAGACCGGCTGGGCATCACGACGATAGCGACCAAGGCAGCGAGTGCATCTGAGCATCCAGCATCCCTTCGGGACTACTCAATAAGCAGTCAAAATTCTTGTTCAGCAAAGTTGTTCAGCAGTCAAATGTTCCTTGGTGCCAACAACTTCCAAGAGGAGAGCCAGACATGGAGGGCGTGGTGAATGGTGTCATGCAGACTATGGACTTGCCAATAGCGATGAAGCCCATTGTTGAGGAAGCAGCAGCAACCGAACAGCAAGTATTGGAGGTGGGTAACCAGGTAGAGATGCAGCTATGCGGGCTACAGCTACAAACATCTCCCATTGGTGCCTCAATTGCTGCTGGGAAACGTTGAACAGCAACTAAAGTCTGCGCTACTGAGTCCGAAATTGAAAAGGGAGGTCGTCGAGGACCGTGTAACAGGGGCAGACCAGAGCGGGCCTAGCGGCATACTTGCATTGTTAGGGGTACCAACAGAAGACAAACCAGTACTGAAGGAGCACTGCAAAGCTGTGTGGGAGCGGAATGCGGAGGTGAAAATACTTTTGTTGCTGAACAGAATGGGAGCATATACTGAAAATGCCAAGAAAACTGCATCAGGAATGATAGCAGGTTCCAAGATCCTGCAACCTGACGACCACCAACGGGCAGGCGAACTCAAGAAACATGTGGAGCATGCAGTAACAACAACAAGGCGAACAGATAACCTTTCTGCTGATGTTAACGCTGTCGGCGAGTATGTTTGTGCTAGCGAGAAGCTGTCACACCTGGTGTTGATGCAAAAATTAGATGGTCTGCTGCAAAACGGCCCAGAAGCAGCAGCAGAGGTGTACGCAACTGAAGGTACTAAGCAGAAACTCGAACCCACCGCAGCTGAAGTGGTTCAAGACGGGGAGCTAGAACCGGAAAGGCACCAGTTCGAATAGCAGCACTAACAACGGCAAGGAACGACGAAGGCTTCGGTTGACAAAAAGGCAACGAAGGCGGAGAGAGAAGGCCAAGAAGAAGAGGCTCATGAGAAAGGTGAGGAGGAAGATGATCTAGCAAGGTATGCAACAGCCGCAGACAGTCAAAGAAACGAAGGAACCGAGAGTGGAGAAGAAAAGGAGGATGTACTAGAGTGGTCAGGACGTTGGTAAAAGCACGGATAGAACCGAGTGTGGAGATAGGGGAAGACACGCACAATTAATTTCAGGGGGGTTGCGAGATAAGTTGGAAGTACAGAGGAACCGTGCGTGTGATGTGATGATTCTTCAGCAGAGAAAAAAGCAGCAGGGGCACATGACGAAAAAGAAGGCGACCTTGAACAGAAGGATGACGGAGCACCAATGGAGACGGGAGACTCAGTGGCAATTTGAGGCACTAGAGAAGGGGAGGCAGAAAGAAAGGAAGAGAAAAAGGGGAAAAAAGTGCTGGCAATGCGAGGAGAGGTCTGTAACATAATAGCGAAGAAGTCAGGAGTGTGGCAAGACGGAGATGAAGGTAAGTAATGAATGCCCTTGCTAGTTGGGTGCATCTACACATGGAGGGCAAATGCCCTCTTCCTCTTAGCATCTGAAAGACGGAGAGCAGTAGACCGGAAGCACGGTAGGGGAAACAGGTGCCGGGACGCAGCAGAGTTGCTTCATAACCACGACATGTTCGGTATGCTGATTGGGAGAGGGAGCCAGCATGTTGCGTGCAGGCTATGAGATGACAGAAAAGAGTAATAAAGACGCATGGAGAGATACAAGAGGCATCCATGCCTCCAATGATAGATAGACAGGGGAGGGACACTCGCTCTAGCCCACTACAACGGAAGAACACGGGAGTTGTAGTTTGGCTATGACCTCTAAACAGAAACAGAACTACAAACGCTTTGCAGATTTTGACCGACAACAGGAACAAACATAAACAGGCGATTAAGGAACGTAAACACTCGATTAAAATTAAATAAACGTTCATAGTAAATGCTCTTAATATGTTAGTGAAGTTAAGGGGTAACAGTGAAGACCACTGAGCCGGACGGAAGACCAGCCTCATCGGCAGCAGCTAGGGAGTGGCCGAGTGCTTGTTCGGGTGCGTTGTTGGAGGCTCCGTTTGTTCATTGTTTATATTTCTCGATTAAGACTAGCTTTGAACAAGCAAAACATAGCTATTTTTGGTCACTATCCAGAGGATGGATTCAACTTTTCCTTCCTTTTAGGCTGGCTTGCCACTGACCCGACAGTGCTGCGGAGTTCGGGGATGTTCCCAGCAGGCCTCTTCTGCTCCTTCTCCACTTTCCACTTTTTCGCGTAATTAACTTTGTGCCTGAAATGTGCAAACAAAAACTCATTAAACGACCGCCCGCTCCTGCTTTGGTGCAGTTGTTGGGAAGGACCACAAAAGCTCCCATCTCCCTGTCCGTGCTGCTGCTCTTCGTCCTCGTTTGCCGTTGTAGTAGTTCGGCAACTTCTCAACATCTTGATTTCCTTGACGAAGGCTTTGAAGTAGGCGAAGCACAAGGTGTTTCAGCCCCGGAAGCAGCAGCAAGTGCTACTGAGCTAGGAGATGGGGGCGATGGTGGAGGAAGGTTGCGACAGGTGTTGAATAAGGGTTTAGGCCATGTAAATATGGAATGGATTCATAATGCAATGAAGAAGTTTGGGTGGCATGCAGTGGGGTCTGCTGCTGCCGTGTTGCTGCTGGCAGTTTTTGTTGCCGCAAGGTTGTTTGCTGCTGCTGTTTCCAAAGAGCAGAGGGTACCCAAAGCGCCTCACGAGAAGGAGGACGACAAAGCGGAGGTGAAGAAGGAGAAGAAGGGGGAGGATATCCCCATTAGGAAGGATCTGAAAGAGGGAGGGGATAAAGAAAGATACGAAGCGGACGAGGCGTCACTTTTGGGGGGAGGGGAGAAACCGGCGCAAGAATCTTCACACGAAGCGCAGCAACAGCAGGAAGATGCAGAAGGACACGATGATGGCGAAGCCGAGAGGGAAGAGGAGGAGGATGAAAGTGGAGGGGAAGAGAAAGACGAAAAGGAGAAGGAAATATCGGGGGAAGGAATAGAGCAAGAGGAAGAAGCAACGGAGGAAGAAGAGAAAGAAGGAACAGGAGAAACGGAGGAAGAGGGAGGAGACGAGAAAGATCAAGAGGGAGGAGGAGAAGAGACGTTTGACGGGGAGAGTGGTGCTGGTCACGAAGGCGAAGGGGAAGCCGAGATGTCCACAGCTGACGATGCGTCACAGGCGGGAGCAGGAGAGAAGCCGTCACAAGAATCTTCACAAGAAGCACAGCAACAGCAGGAAGATGCAGAAGGACACGATGAAGGCGAAGCCGAGAGGGAAGAGGAGGAGGATGAAAGTGGAGGGGAAGGGAAAGACGAAAAGAAGGAAATATCGGGGGAAGGAATAGAGCAAGAGGATGGAGCAACGGAGGAAGAAGAGAAAGAAGGGGGAAAGCCGGGAGAGCAAGGAATACAGGTAGAAAAAGATGGAGGATTAGAAATGGAGACAGATGGAGGAGACGAGAAAGATCAAGACGACGGAGAAGGGAGAAACGAAATTGTTGCGGAGACTGTTGCTGCTCAGTTGAAGCTGTTGCAGCAGCTGCAGCGTTGCGTTCCCCCTGCAGGTTCTTTAGTTGAATCTCTGAATAGACCGTCGTGCACTATGATTCTTGAGGATATACGGAAGAATATAGAAAGTGCGGTGAGGCACAAATCAGCTGCAATGGCCGGAGAGCCTGAAGCGGTTGTTGCGCTTGCGGCTGCGAACCAAGAAGCAGAACGTCTGGCTCTGACTCTTCAGAAGGAGGCATGGAGAGTTGTATCCTCTAATGTATGGAGACTGACTCCACGCACCAATGCAGCTGTTGTAGCTGGTGCCTGTACTGCAAGAATGTTGTTTGAGAAAACAGGAGTCACATTATCGTATTATAAAGCCTGGGAAGAAGCTGTGCGCGTCTGCGACATTAGAATTCTCTCTCTGCATGAGGGTGCACAAACAATAGAGAAGGTGGTGCCGAGGATTCCTTCACTGCAGGAGAAACATCAGGTGCCGCTGCTCAGTCGAATTTCTGCTGCGCGGGTTGCAGTGGAAGCCTCCCTTTCTTGTGTGAAAGGGCAAGAAGACGCAGAAAAAGCAGCAATGCAGCTAAAGCAAATTTATCTGAAGCTGGTCAAGAACATTCGACTGGTGGAGGCAGAGCTACAAGCTGCCAATCTAGCAGTTCAAGGCCAAATTGCTTCCGTGTTGCTGGAGACTGCACGCGCGCGTCTGGTGGACAGGTCACGATCAGCGTCAGCTGAAGAGGCAAATCTTTTGGGGAGATGGGACCAGCTGCATAAGGAGGCCCTAGAGGGGCTCAGCGCGATCAAGCGGCAACTGGAGGTGTTAAAGGGTACGACAGACCTGCTGGTCATCACGTTTTCAGCGCCACCGACAGCGAGGGCATCAACCCGTGTAGGAAGCCTTCTTCAGGAACTACTCAATGAGCTGTCAAATTTTTTTTCCAGCCAGGCGTTCCTTGGCGCTAAACAACTTCCGAGCGAGCCAGACATGGAGGGTTTGCTGCCTAGTGTGAATCAGCTTATGGACATGCCAAGAATTTTGAAACCCATTGTTGAAGCAATAACAGCAACTGAACAGCAGGTGCTGGAGGTGGGACGCCAGGTAGAGATGCAGCTTCCCGGGCTAAAGAACCTGTCATTGTTGCCTCAATGGTTTCTGGGAAACATTGAAAAGCACCTGAAGCATATGCTGATGAATACGAAGGTGCAAAGGCAGGCCGTCGAGAACTGTGTAACCGGGATGGGCCAGAGCGCGGCTATCAACATATGGAAATCATTGGGTGTACTAGGCGATCACATATCAGCAATCACCAGGCACCGCAAGGGTGTGTGGGAGCTGGATGCTGTAGTGCAAATGCTGGTGGTGTTGAAGGAGATGGTAGCAAATACTGAAAAGACCAAAGAAACTGCATTAGAGGTGATAGGAAGTTCCACAATCCTGCAACCTGCCGAACACCAACGGGCACGCGAACTCACTCAACATGTGGATCATGCAGTGACAGCAGCAAGACGAGCAGAGAGCCTTTCTGCTGTTATCCAAGCAGTAGGTCACTGTGTTTATGTTAACGAGAAGCTGTCACAACTGGTGTGGATGTCAAAATTAGAAAGTCTGCTGCAAAACGATACAGCAGCAGCAGCAGAAGTGTCGGCAGCTGAAGGTGCTAAGCAGAAACTCGAATCCGCCGCAGCTGAAGTGGCTCAAGACGGGGGAGTCAAGGAAGAACAGGCGTACGTTCAAGCAGCAGTAACAAAAATGGGAAGCAACCAAGGAAGAGACTTCGGTAGGCAAACAACAGCAAAAGCGGAGGGAGAAACAGCCCACGAAAAAGATGAGCATGGGGAAGATGATCACACAAACTATACAACACCCCCAGAGAGTGAAGGAGACGAAGGAAGCGAGAGTGTAGACGAATACGAAGATGCCACAGAGTGGGCAGGAAGTTCATGAAGGCCATAAATAGAACGGTGTGAAGGAGAAAGGCATGCGCATGTGAGGGATGGAGTGGGTTCAAACAGTAACAGGAGAAACGCAGTTGGAGGGAACTGCTAGAGAATTTGGAGGTATGGCAGAACCATCAGGGTTGTGGGGGTTCCTCAGCGGGGGGCAAAGCAGCAAGAGGGACGTTGACCGGAAGGATGATGCGCAGCACCAATGGGTGCGGGAGACTGAGTGGCAAATCGGTGCTTACATAGGCATACAGGAGGCAAGAGAGGAAGCCAGGCAAGAAGGAAAAAGAAAATGGAGAAGCGAAGAACCGAAAGTGGGAGGCGCAGTCTCTCTACGTAATAAAGAAAGAGACAGGAATTGTGGCTAGGAGATAGAGATGTAGGTAAGGACGTTCCTTGCTAGATGGGAACATATACGGGGGGAAGGAGGGCAGATCCATGTTTCTCCTCGTAGAAGCTAAAGACAGGGAGTAGGGGACAGGAAAGGGGAAACATGTGCCGAGACAATGCAAATCTGCGCTTACCCACGACATATTGGGTGTAGCGTTCACGAAATACAGCCAGCATGCTGAGTGCTGTCTCGCAGCACACAGAGAGAAAGATGCACTGGGAGATAGAAGAGGTATCCATGCCTACAAAGAAAGGTAGACACACAGCAGAGGCACGCAGGCTCTAGCCGACCCCAGTAGTTGTGGTTTGGCTATGCCCTCCCAACCGAAGCAAAGCAAATACTTTGCAGATTTTGACCAAGGAAACGAAAACACGTGATTAAGATTCAATAATAATACATAGTATGTTGGTGGAGTTATGTAGGGAACAGCCAACACCACTTGCTGGCCAGTGAGAGCCAGCCTCGACCGGTAGCTCTGTTGTGGCCTACTGCTTGTTTGGGAGGGTTGGTTAATTCATTGTTGTTTACATTTCTGCATTAAGGTTAGTTTTGATAAACTTAAGTACTGCTATTTTTGTTAAGTATCCACAAAATAGATTCACCTTTTCCCACATTTTAGACAGGCTTGCCACACGGCGAACGCTGCTTGGCAGTTGTTGACGCTCCCAGGAGGAGCCTTCTTCTCGTCTCCCAGCTGTGAAGCACCCTGTTCCTGCTGCTGGTCTTTGTTTGCCCTTGCAGCAGTTCAGCAGTTTCTCAACATTTATATGGTTCAAAGAAAGCTTTGAAGTAGATTGAAGACAAGATATTTCAATATCCTAAGCAGTAACAGGTACTCTTTCTGTAGATGTGGGCGATTATGCGGACCCGGTGTGGCAGGTGTTGAATGGGGGCCTGGAGCCTGCAAAAATGATGGATTCGTGGTTCAGGGAAAAAGTTTGGGTTTCACTCACTGGTGTCTGTTGCGGCGGTAGTGCTGCTGACATTTTTTGTTGCAGCAACGATGTTTACTGCTGCTGGTCGTAGGTCACAGGAGGGAGGAAAGGAGAAACGAAACATGCACGAGACCCTTCACGAGAACATCAACAACCACATCAGTATGAAGGGGAAGATCAAGACGAAGGAGAAGGAGAAGAAGAAATTGATGCGGAGAGTGGTTATGCTCAGTTGGCGGTGACGGCTGCAAAGCTGCGTTGACACTGCAGCTGCATTAGCTGTTTCTGTGAATAGACCGGAATATAAAGCGTTTGTTGAGAATAAAAGGGAGCACATAGAAAGTGCGGCGAAGTACCCGTCTGCTGCAGAGGTCGGGAAACCTGTATCGCTGGCTGCGCTCGCTGCTCATAACCAAAAAGCAACACAATCGATTCTGAAATTTCTTGAAGATGCAAGGGATGTTGTAACCAAAAATTCAAAGAGACTGAATTCATGCAAGGGTACACCAGTTACAGCTGATTCTTCTCTTCACAGAAGGGTGTTCAACAAATCAGGAATCGCATCATCATACCAGGAGGCCTGGGACCAAGCTGTGGTCGTCTGCGACAGTAGTATACGCTTCCTGCGGATGTTTGCACAAATGTGTGCAGCAGCGGCTGCCGAACTTGTATTGCCCTTGCTGCAGCAGAAGCAGTTGATGTTGCTGCCCCACCGAGTTTCCGCTACAGGGACTGCATTCTTAGCTACCGGTTGAAGCTTGTTAAGAGCAGTCACAAGGCGGGGGTAGATCTTAAAGCGACCAATCTAGTTGTTCAACGGCGAATTGCTTCAGCGATGCTGGTGGATACACACTCAAGCCTGGAAGACAAGACACGACGACTGTCACCGGAAGAAGAAAATATCTTGGTGAAGTGGGACGAGCGGCTTAACGTTGAACACCATGCGCTTAGCTCGATTCTGGAGCAACTGGAGGTTGAAAGATACGAAAGACCCGCTGGACGTCACGTATAGGGCGACCGGGGCAGCAAGTGCATCAAAGGGTGCAGCACCCCTTCTTCGGGACCTACTAAATGAACTGTCAGAATTCTTGTGGAGCCCAGCCTTCCTTGGCGCCAAACAACATCGGAAGAAAGAGGCACGTATGGAGGATGTGGTTTCTGGTGTGAAGCAGATTATGGACCTGACAACTGCGATGAAGCCCATTGTTGAGGCAGTAGCAGCAACGGGGCAGCAAGTGTTGGATGTGGGACGTCAGGTAGAGATGCAGCTATCCGGGCAGAAGGACCTCCCGTGGGCGCCCCAACTGTTTCTGGAAAGCGTTGAAAAGCAACTAAAACCTGTTTTAGTGTATGCGAAGGTGAGAAGAGGGGCTGTCCAAGAGTGTGTGATTGAGGTTTGCCAGGCCGTGCTTAGTGGCATCCTTATACCGTCAGCTTACATCATTAGATGAACTAGGAGAGGAAACATCAGCAATCAAGGAGCATTGTAGGGCTGTGTGGAAGCTGAATGGGGAAGTGGAAATGCTGGTGTTGCTGAAGGGAATTGTAGCAAATGCTGAAATTAGCAAGCATACTGGACTAGCGGTGCTAGCGAGTTCCGCGCCCCTGCAGCCTCCTCACCGCCAACGGGCAGGCGAAGTCAAGGGACAGCTGAGGCATGCAGTAACAACAGAAAGGCAAGCATAGAACCTTTTTGACGTTGTGGAAGCAGTTGGTGAATATGTTTGTGCTAGCGAGGTGTTGCAACTGGAGTGGCTGGCAGTGGTAGGTCTGGTCAAAAACAACCCAGCAGCAGCGGCAGCAGAGGTGTAGGCATAGCGCGCCGCTGTACCAGGAAGTCTCTGGTAGGCAAACACCAGCAAAGATAGCGGGAGAAACAGCCCAAGAAGAAGAGCATGAGGAAGGTGAGGCGGGAGTTGATAAAACCTCCTACGAAACAGCCCCAAACAGTGAAGGAGATGCAGGAACCGACAGTGGAGAAGAATGCGAGGATGCTCTAGAGTGATCAGGAAGTCCATAAAAACCACAAATGTAACAGTGTGGAGGAGAAGAAAGGCATGCGCGTGAGAGCGATGTAGCGGATAAAGACGGTGGGAGAGAGGAGAAATGCATTTGATGGCACACGCGAGAGAATTTGGAAGTACGTCATAGCCATAAGGGTTGTGGCGATTCTTCAGCAAGGTACAAAGCAGCAAGAGCGCATGACGAAAAAGAAGGCGAAAAAACGCTGACTGTGTCGCAATTTGATGCGGACATATGCAGAAAGGAGGCAAAGGAGACAAAAAAGAAAGAAATGAAGAAAGGGAAACAGAGACCCGATAGTGCGAGGCACATTCTCTCTAAGATAATAGCGAATGAGGGGGGAGTGGTGGCAAGGAGGAGATGAAGGTATGTAAGAAGGTCCCATGCTGGTTGGGAAAGTACGCAAGGAAGGAGGGCAGATGTGTTTCTCCTGTTTGAAGATGAAGACATAGAATAGCAAACAGGAAACAGGGGGTGGAAAACAGGTTCCAAGGAACTGCCCGGCTGTGAGTGGCAACGACACGTTGAGTGCAGCGTTCGTGAGTTATAGCCAGCATGTTGAGTGAGGAATATGAGATTACAGTACAGAGGGACGAAGATTCATATGGAGATATAAGAGGTATCCGTGCATCCAAAGGTGGAGAGACGGCAGAGGGGCACGTGCTCTAGTCGACGACACCAGAAGAACGAGGGAGGCGTTGTTTTGCCATGTCCTGCAAACTGACCTGCAAAGCCTTTGCCGCGACTTTGATCGACAAAGGCAAACGTAGACATGCTACTAAATTTCAATACTAAAACATAGTAAATGTTCTTAGTATGTTTGTGGAGTCCTGTCAATACCACTGAGCGGGATGGATGACTATCGACATCAGATGCAGCTACCTTGTGGCCGATTGCTCGCTCGGGGGAGTGGGTGTGGGCGCGGTTCGTTGATTGTTGATTAGATTTATGCATTCAAGCTAACTTTGAACAAGCAAAACATATCTATTTTTGATCAGTGTTCCTAAGATGGGTCCAAATTTTCCCTCATTTTCGCCTGGGTTGTAACTAAGCCACCGGTGCCGGGCATATCGGGGGCGCTCCTTGCAGGTCTGCCACCTTTTTCATTCTCACCCTTCCATTGCTTAAAGTCACGGCTGAGATGCGGAGAAGAAAATTCATTAAACAACCGGCCGCTCTTGTTACGGCGCACTTTCTGGGAAGGATCCCAATAGGTCCGCTCACCCTGTCCCTGCTTCTGCTTCTTGTCCTTGCTTGCCGTTGCAGTAGTTCAGCAGCTTCTCAACATCTTGATTTGTTTGACAAAGGCTTTGAAATGGAGAAAGCACATGATGTTTCAAGCCCGGAAGCAGATGCAGCTACAGCTGCTACTACTGCTGTACAAGATCCAGGAGGTGGTGGGGAGGCGTTGCAGCAAGTGTTGAATCCAGGCCTGGGGCCCGTGAATGTGGAGTGGATTAGTGGTTCATGGAAGAAGGCTGGATGGAACGCAGTGGGGCCTGCTGCGGCCGTGTTGCTGCTGGCAGTTTTCGTTGCAACAAGGATATTTGCTGCTCGCGGTCGAAAGTCCAATTTTGACGAGCCGTCAAAGGCGGGAAGGGAGAAGAAACCGACCCAGGAGCCTTCACGAGAAGAAGAGCAACAACAGGAAGGTGAGGAAGGGCAAGAAGAAGGCAAAACTGAGAAAGAAGGGGATCCGGAGAAACGTGAACGGGAAGAGGAAAAAGAAAGGGAAATGGAAAATGCGGGGGCAGAAAAAACGGAAGAGGAAAGAGAGACAGAAAGGAAGGAAGGGACAACGCAGGGCAATGAAGGAAGAGAAAATGAGGAAGGAACGAGGGAAATACAACAAGACGGAGGAACGGAGTTTGGCGATGCTCAAGTTGCGCTGTTACAGCGTATACAACTCTGCATTTCCCCTGCAACTTCTTTAGCTGCTTCTCTGAATAAAACGGCATCTTCTGTGTTGCTGGGGAAGCTGAAGAAGCATTTAGCAACTGCGGTGGAGTACCAGTCGGCTGCAGTGGCCGGGGAACCTGAAGCGGTGGCTACGCTCGCTGCTGCGAACAAAGGAGCAGCATTGACAATTGCGGATTTTCAGCTGATGGCAAAGGATGTTGTATCTGAAGATGCACGTGCAGCAGTTGCATGCCCCGAAGCAGAAGATATAGCCAATGCCGGTTATGCATCAACCTTCCAAAGACATACGGGAGTGTCACATTTTTTGGAGCTTGCATGGTACCGAGCTGTGGGCGTCTGCAGCAATAGCATTCGTTTCCTCCGAAGCGACGGAGAAAGAATTCGAGAAGAGATGAATAATGTGTCTTCGCAGTCGATGGGAATGGTGTTGCCATCGGCCGTGCATCTATCTGCTGCGCGGGTAGCGGTGGAATCCATCCGCCGTTGCGTAAAGGGGCAAGAAACAGCAATAGAAGCAGCAAAACAGCTGCAGCAAGTTTCTCTCAAGCTAGTCAAGAACAATCTACTAGTGGAGCTGGAATTTCGAGCAACAGCTCTAGCAGCTCAAGAACACGCTGCTTCCTTGATGCTGCAGGTTGCACACTGGTGGGGAAAGATGCGAACAATGCTACCTGAAGAAGCAGAGCTCTTGGGTAAGTGGGATCAGGGCTATAAGAGTGCACAAGAGGCGCTAAGCGCGGCTCAGCAGCAACTGCAGTTGTTGAAGGGTGAGACAAACGTGCCGGACACCAAGAGGACAGCGGACACAGCAAGGATGGCATGTGAGCGTGCAGCAACGCTTTTTCGGGATATGTTTAATGGACTGCCCCAACTCTTGCCTAAGGAAGAGCACGTGAGCACCATGAAACTTTGGAAGGCAGTGAGGCATATGAAGGATATTGTATCTATTGCGAGAAAGATGTATGGCTTGCCAACAGCGTTTAAAACCATTGCTGAAGCAGGTGCAGCGACCGCGCAGCAAGTGCTGGAGGTGGGACACAATGTACAGATGCAACTGTCCGGGCTAAAGGAACTCCCGTGGGTACCTCAATCGCTGTTGGAAAACGTTGAAAAGCGACTAAAAACTCTGCTGATGGAGGCAAAGGTGAGGAGCCTGGCCGTCCAGGAGCATGTGACTAAGTTGAAGGAATCGCCTATGGATGACCCATCATTTGATTTTCGAGAAAAAGAAATATCAGCACTCACGAAGCTCTGCAAGGCTGTGTGGGAGCTAAATGCGGAAGTGGAAATGCTGGGGTTGCTGAGGGGAGTGGTAGCAAATGCTGAACATACCAAAGAAACTGCATTAGATATGATAGCAGGTGACACAATCCTGCAGTCTGCGGAGTCCCAACGCGCACGCGGACTCAAGGAACAGCTGGAGCAGGCAGTGACAACAGCAGGAGAATCAGAAAACCTTTCGGATGTTGTGCAAGCAGTCGGTGAGTATGTTTCTGCTAGTGAGAAGCTGATGCAGCTGGCGTGGATGTCAAAAATAACAAGTCTGCTCAAAGACGACCCAGAAGCAACGAAAGAGCTGCAAGCAACTAAGGCAGCCCAGGGGAAACTCCAATCCGCCACAGCGGAGGTAGTGGCTCAAGACGGGAAGCTAGAACAAGAAAAGGTTCCATTTCAAGCAACAGCCACAACGGCAAGCAACCAAGAAGAAGATTTCGGTAGACGGACAGCAGCAGAAACGGAGCTAGAAGAAGGCCAACAGGAAGAGGGGCATGAGGAAGGTGAGGATAGCGATGATCAAACGGGCTATGAAACGGCGCCAGAAACTGGAGCAGACGAAGAAAGCGAGAGTGAAGGCGAATACAACGATGCACTGGAATTATCAGGAAGTTCATAAAGATCACAAATTGAACAGTGTGAAAGAGAAGAATGGCATGCGCATGAGAGGGATGCAGCGGGTAGAGAAGAGAAATGGGGAACTGCATTGGAGAGGAGTTGGTAGAGGATTTAGAAATGCGGCATTACAATCAGGGTTGTGGCGATTCTTCAGCAGAGGACAAAGTAGGAAGAGCGCATAATGAAAAAGGAAACGACGTTGACAGAAAGATGGCGGAGCTCCAATGGATGCGGGAGACTGAGTGGTTATTCGATGTGTACATAGGCAGAAAGGAGGGAATAGAGGGAGACAAGAGGAGAGATGAAGGAGAACGGGAAACAAGTCGCTAACAGTGCGAGACGAGGTCTCTGTAAATAATAGGGAAGGTGTAAATAATAGGAGTCGTGGCGACGAGGTGATGCAGGTAATGCCCCCTGATAGATGGGAACATATAAACAAGGAATGAGGATAATCTGTCTTCAGTGTAGAAGCTGAAGACGAAGAATAGGAGACGGTAAGCGGGGAATGGGAAACAGGTGCCGTGACACTGCAAGGTGGCGCTTACCAACAATATGTTGGGTGTAGCCCTCGGGATATACAGCCATCACGTTCAGTGCAGGCTAAGATGACAACGCAGGGAGGGAAAGCGACACTGGGAAATAGAAGAGGTGGCCGTGCGTCCAAAGGTAGACACACAGCCGAGGGACACACGCTCTAGCCGACCACAGCAGGGAAGACGAGGGAGGCATAGCTTGAAGACTTCCCCCGAGTTGCCTACTGCAAAGCCTTCGCCTATATTGACAGATAATAACCGATACACGCTTATCTTTTGAAAATGTGTATCGGTTATTATCTGTCAATGCACACATTAGGCTCCTCCAGGAGGAAGGTGACACATCCGGTGACAAGCTGTTGCGCAGCAGCACTGACAGAAGAAACAAGAGCAAGGCGGATTAAAACATAACCACAAGCAACGGAGGGCACAGGAAAACCAAGTTGTCAACGATATATAGTAGCAAACACGAACAAACGAAAGGACGAAACTAGCAGCACCTGACAACAATCGCCAACCCACCAAATACAAGCAGCGTTGACAGTGCTGGGATACATTGACAATGATATAGCAAATACAGATATAATATGGGCATATCTATGCATGTATATTACTAAACATGCAGGTAGATAATGTATGAGCCCTTGGAAACACATGTAGGTGTCGTTGCAAGAACTGTGAATAATAACCTGCACTCCACTGCTATATATACAATTGAATATAGGATATTGTTGGTTGTATGTGTATAGTATATACAGTTTACTTCCACTTAAATTAGGTTTTGTCCCCCCAAGGACTAACAGTTTTGACTTTCTGCGGTGTGTGGATAGACTGGATGTCGCTTACATACCTTGCTGCCGTCAACAGCTGATAACTAGTCACTCTGCGCTTTAAACTTTCCGGCTTTTGGCGAGGCCTTTTTGCCTGTTCGCTCTAATCTACGGGTAGGCCATTTATATTCCACGTCGTCTCTCTGTATTTGTCCACTCTCGTCGTTTCCGGCGATGGACAAAAAGTGGATGGAACTCTAAATGCGTGGTTGAACCAATGAGTGAACAAAAGCTTCTTGAACAGGTGTTCCAGTGCTGACACCGCCAACAACACCTAATGCAGGCACGACTCTGAAGTGATTGATGGGACTTCGGGGACATCTAAAATTGGAGAACGCAGCCAGCAGACGGAAAGCAGGTGGTCTGTTGACAGGGAATATATGCGCGTGCCGTAGGTAATCTGAACTGTCCCAGGGTGCACGTTGATATGGAGTGACAATACATATTTGCTATGGATATCGATAATGTGCACATTTACGTGTATATGCAACTATATACAGACGCTGCATATTACTTAATGCACGTACAAGAATATACACTGTATGCACATCAAAACCACGTACACTGCACACAGTACTGACAAGCGTCATATAAAGCGTACACATACTGTGCAAATGCAAATCCTCCTAAGTATGCAGACGTGCATACTTGAGGAAAGTGAGGAAAGGTGCCACCAACTACCGGACTAGCATACAGCAACGATCTACTATTCGTCAACGACTCAAAACCTTCCCGTAGGTACATGTCGGGTTTCTTGGTTTGCTACCTAGCTAGCTGCTGAGCTACCTAGGTAGCTAGCTACACAGCTAGCTACTCGGCCAGCTAGAATCGTCCAACGGACCAAAATGAAAACAGCAAGGAGGGCCAACCTACACCTTCCGCCATTCCAAACAAAAGTTCTGTGACACCAGCAGAAACCCTTCTATGTACGATCGCCGGACGAAACCCAACCAACTAACTCTCTAGGTGGCTGGGCACGTCCCCGATGAGGCGGTGCTTGTTCAGCACCTGCTACCTGCTTCTTGGGATCCATGAGGCCGGACCACCTGCTAACCAGCGTGGCATGGAGCCAACCTGACCGCTGGCCTGATTGCCCATTTGATAGTTACTCCCTGTTAATCGGATTTGTGTGGAGGAAGATTTCGGTGGGTTTTCCCGCGGCCTGTCCCACAGAAGCAGCAGCAGCTGCTGCTGCTGCTTCTTCACTCATGTACGGTTGGCCGTGCTGCTCCGGCCGCAGGGGGTATAGATTTTGCACGTGCGGGTCTTGATGAATTTGCATACAGTAGCTGCAGGGAGTAAACGGGGCCCCTGTGGGACAACCTCCAGCCGACCCCACCCGTGTTGCTGCGACGGGAAAGCCGCAATGGACCCCCGGGTCTCTCCCGTTGTTTGATCGGCAGCTGCCTTTCATTTTCGTATTACTGCAATAGCAGCCTGCAAACACAGGAGCAAGACCAACAACAAGCGACGGGAAGAGACGCAACACGCAAACCTCCCTTTAGGAAACAATTGGCACATGAATGTGTAGTGCAGATTAGGCATCGCATCAAAGCACATTGCGCAGGAAACAAGGTGATTCTGACATACCTACAAGTTTAGGGCTCGTGGTCCTCAACGCAATTGCTTCATAAAACACTGCAACAAAATATACTGCGTCCAAGAGAGTAAAGAAATTCCTTCTGAGCTAAAGCAGATGCTTCTGAACGATGGCCTGCATCAATAGGGACACCGCGCATATTAGTATGTAGGTTTAGTACTTCCAGAGGGATTAGGGCTTGCGCTCGGGGCCTGATCAGCGTGGAATGAATGCTTTCTGCCTCCCCTGAATCTCTACGAAGTGCTCAAAGAGGGGAAGAATACGCTGAAAAGCTGCGGCAAACTGTGCCATTGCCACCCCGAGCTCCCCTACGGATTTCAATGCAAAATGGAAACTACGTAAATATGTTGAATTCCACTTGTTGCTTACCTCAGTAAGATCAAACGAAGATATGTACTGTAGAAAAGCAACTGATGCACGAGTATTGACGGAGGTACACTCTGTGGCTGCTGCCGCTAACCGCCCTCTCGATGGTTAGCTGTAGATTGAAGATGGTCTGGTCACGTAGGAATTCAAGGCGCTGCTGCTCATTGTTTTCTGTTTTTTATAGTCTCTTATCTTTACTTCAGGTTGTTAAAGGTATTTTTCAGGTATTATTGTCTACTTTTTTCTCCTTCCCTCCCCTCTTTTCTCCCCCCATTTTTTCCCCCAATGGCGGCCTCTCTCGCGCAGCGACTTACCTTCTGGTTCACTGGTAAGGACTTCAATTTCGTTTTTAAAAACCCTGCTTGTTTGCAGCCGTTCCTAGTTTTAACCAGCTCTCAGCTCAGGTTACTGCCGGAGGGGCTTGAAGAGTGCCCAGCAGCAGCAGTAGCTGATGCTGCTGCTGCATGTTCAGGGTATTGCTGCCGCCTTGCAGAATAACACCTCTAGAACAGCGAAAAGGTAGACTACAACAGAACTGAGGACGGGGAGTTAGTTAGCAAGCAGGTGGATATTCACTGGGAAGCAACATCAGAAGTGATGCAAAAGGGAAAACAACCTGAGGGCTGTCGCTGCTTCTGTCGTTGTTGTTGTTACCATTGCTGTTTTGCTGTAAATTTAGGTGGCGAGAATCCTCCGCAGGTCCCGCACCCACCCCACATCCGCCCGATTCTGTTGGAAGCTCGCGCCATGCTTAACCTTAGTAACTCTCAGCACTGACCTATCTGGCGCTTCCCGTAGTTAGTTAGTTTGTGTCGCCTGCTAATTTGCCAGTTTGGTCGAGGTCTACGCAAGGGCACATGTTCACAAATATATGCGTGAATATTGTGTGTGAGTTGGGGAGGTATAAATCCGTGCATAGTTAATACATGAATGCTTTCCTTTTGCTTGTGTTTGTGGGCGCCGTATATCTATTTCTGTTTTAATGGTGCACATATTTATGATGCATCCTGTTTTTATTAGCTTGCTTGCTTCCATCTGCTATGAACTTGCACCTGGCTGCACGTGTTTGTTTGCTTCGCGTTGTATCCATTTATTAGTTCCTGTGCTCAGGTCTGCAGGTGTCATGTGTATGCTTCTCTCTGTCCATTATTCACTTAGATGATGTGCCCAGAGGCAAGGGAATGGCAGATGGAGAGAGCCGCCTATTTGCTGCATCCTGTATATGTTTGCGTGTTCCCTATTTGTGTATTAAGAACGTAACATGAATTCTCCCATCAGTGGGTTCCACTTACGTGGTTATGTATATGTATTTGGGTGTTCTTATGATCAGAGCAGAAGTTGCCTTCAGGCGCGACTCGCGAGGAAATAATAAAAGTGGTGAACGAGTCGGTGACAGACCGCCAGCTGCAGGCACATGCACTGATGGCAATGAAGGAGCAGTTGGGCATTTCATTCGACAAAACGTTAAACCCCAATATGCCAGAACCAGAGTACTTGCATTGCACACAGTGACAAGAGAAAAGGAGCGCGACGACGACATCGACAGCCCCCAATAAACAGCAAGCAAACAGCAGTAAACAACAATTGAGAGCCCAAGTCGACCTCGTGGTTGCATTGAGAACAAATATCCCGATACAGAGGGAAGAGCCGGGACTGCAGCACTAGAAAATGTTGCAAAGGAGAAGTAGTAGACGGCATTCAACAACGCACTGCCGATGCATACAGGTGGAAACTCCGTCTGAACAGCTCCGGGCAAATGCGGGCCAGAGGTGTATGCACACGTGGTCGACGCCGTATACTAACCTGGTTAGTGTAGCAACGTCGTGTAAAGGGAGCAGCCTACATATATCGCCTGGCCTAGGGCGTATATACACCTGAATTACAGTTTATGGCGACATGTGTAGGTGGCGTAATGTTCGGTGTGCGTGCGCACAACGAAAGTGTGGCGTATGCATACGTGGTTGTTTCACGCAATGCTGGCGAGGCATGCGGCGCCACGGAGGGAACGAGATTTTTGTAAGGTGTATTCACAGGTCGTGGGTGGAGGAGTGGAGTTTTCCTTGTGCAGAGTGGGTGTAGCATCTTTTAGGGGTAAGGGCGGGGTAGATGTCTTCAGACCAAGGCAGGGTAGGTTGGCAGTGCAGCCAGTACTACGAACACTCACGGGCTCGACGAGCTTTGTGCTATTTAAGCAAACCACGATTATACATATTTGTTCTCAATGGAACCAAGAGGACGACTTGGGAGCGTCCTCTTAGTTCCATTGAGAACAAATATCCCGATCGAAAGCCAGTACTGCAGCACAAGGAAGTGTTGCAAAGAAGAAGTAGTAGACGGCATGCAGCAACGTACGTTGCTATAGCGCACATCAGCCCCGTATCTAACCCTTCGTCAGACGTTGTAGGGGCGAAGAAATGTGACAATAGCCAAGGCGAATGGGTTTGTGGAGGAGCTTTGCCCTGCAACCGTCCCGGGGCTACTCTGGATGCGTTGGCCAATAGTGCAGGCATCGGCTGAAACAGTGCAGCTCAAACATGACACTCGTTCAATAACTTGGAAAGCTTCTCCGTTTAGAAACTAAAGAGGCCCCAGCGATTAGCATTGTGTGTTCTCAGGTATGCCAACTACTCCTTTTACCAGTAATATATGTACCAAAGGGCTGTTGCGTTGTCATGCCGGGGATGCTCACAGGGCGGCTTGCTATTGCCGCTTCTACTGCTACGCTACGCCCTCTGGCTGCTGCAGCAACGGAAGCAGCAGCAGCTCTAAAAAGAGTTGTTGCTGCTGCGGGGGTGCCTCAGGCCTCAGGACCGGCGTCTGCAGCAACAATTGCAAAAACAAACGTCTCGGGTGCACCATCTGTTGCACAGGAGGAATACCCTGGTGCTGGTGTTGTTGATGCCGCAGACGATGCTGTCGCAGCACCTCCACAGTACTGCGCTGATTGTGCTGAAGGCGCTACAACTGGCTGCTGCTGCGTCTTCCGGGGATTGCCACTGGAGAAGCTGCTGCACAGACGGCTGCTTTATCAGAACGTCGACTGGGTTGCTCAAAAACACCAGGGAATGATACGTCGACGAAACTATTTTAACGGCAAAGACTTTATAAAAGAATTCTGCAGCGTGCACGAGGCCAGGTGGAGCATAAACCGTATCGTGCGAGCCTGCCGGAGGTGGGCGCATTACCAATTCCAGGCCCAAGTAGAAAGCTGTGTGCAAGTTAAAGTTTCTAACAACTGCCTACACTGCTTTCAAAACAGTTAAGAAGGCTTGTTTGCTGTTGTATTTGAGGATGCCTTGCACGTTGAACTGCAGCACAGTGCACTGCAACTCACACGTGCCAACCCGCAGTTCTAGGCGTTTCAGCCGCTGTGCTCTGGATGACTCCTGGAGGCTGGTGAAGAGCGTCCGTTGCATATAATGAACCCTAATCACAAGTTTTTTGTCTCCATTGCAGCTATCTAAGTCTGTGACGCGGGTCTCAGGTAGAACCCGCGATGCGCGTCACACTGAGTTTTCACGCGCTGTGCGGCAACTATTAGTAGTGCATCATGAGACCTCAAGGAAAAAACCCAAATTGAAAGCCTCTAACTCTAAACCGTAAGTAATCAAAACTAGGGAATGTACCCTGCGCCATCCTCCTTAAATCCCTTCGGAAAACACCGTCTCCGCTAACAGGTACTGTAGTGCACGCGCACTGCAATAGAGCTCATGTGGTAACCTTAAAGGTATAGTTTCATGGGAGGGAACAATGAGGAATATTAATACGCTTATATTGGAACTCTTTTTGATAGAAAAAAGGTCAAGTGAGTTAAGACTGCTCGTCCGCCTACACGAGACCCCGCCCTGATCGTGAGGCGTACGCAGTTGCCTTGGCTCGGACCCTCTTCAGGGGGGAGCCGGTCAGTTCTATTATTCTGAGTTCCCCCCTTAATAATATGGACTTGAATAGGTTTAAGAGTGATTACTTACTTATTCAACTGGTATTAGCCGAGATTAGCTAAGTTTAGCTTATAGGTGCTGAGTGTGCACCAGGTTGAAATACCTTTTGCCATACGTAGTAGCAACTGGGCACGCTGTTCACTGCAGGTGCGGTGTTAACACTAAGGGCCAAAATACAAGCAGCCTTAGTACTGATTTAAATTAGTTCAATTTTATTTTATATATTCCACCGTATAGTCTTTAAACTATGCAAGCCCTTACTGCGCGGTATTCTAGGGGCTGTTGCTGCATGCAGTTCGCCTCCCGCTCCACTTCTTCCCAGCGTTTTATTGTGGATCAGGGTTTAGAACTTATGGATTTCTGCTTCGGGGGTGGGGTGTAGGGCCCATGGGCTAGGGTTTAGTGGGATAGCGCTCAAGTGTAGTGAGCTCTCTTGCATCCGGCTGGCGTGTGGTAGTAATTTCGATCCTAGCGCAGGAGCGGCATCAGCTGTGGAGCTGCTGCTGCTTCAGCTTCCGGATGCTTATGCTTTGCTGCTGGCCTGTTGGTGGCGCTGCTGCTCCACAAAGGACTGCAGGTGCTACAGTTCTGCTGGAGGAGCTGCCACTGCCCACTGTGCTGCCTTCTCGGGACGCAGCAACAGATGAACCCACGGCCGCCTACCAAGTAGTAGTTCCATGAGCAGCATCATTGAGAGCAACTCCACACGAGCAAGACAGGCAACTGCAGTAGCAAAGCCAAGAAGGGGAACAGTAGCTGCCGCAGGAAAGCTCAAGGTTCGGACATTCTCTAAAGCAACGACCGCAGCAGCAATACCTGCAGAAGAAGAGGCAATACTAAAAGAAGAAACAACAGCCTGAACGACAACAATGACAGCAATGACGGGAGGCGTATCTTTGCGGGAGCAGCACGTGGATGCCTCCATAGATTTCCCGACGCACTCCGTCTTGGGGTTTACCTCTTTGTCTCTTGAAATCGGCGGGGCCCTTGTTGCTGCTGCTACTGTTGCTGCGGATGCGTTTGTTGCAGCTGCTGCTGGTTCATCGGACGCAGCAGGTGCAGCAGCAGCAACAACAGCAACAGAGGCAACAATAAATGATTCTCGTATACCTTTCGCAATACCCCTCCACGTAAACTTCCGACGTGCTGCTGCTGATGATGATATCTGGCTGTTGCCGTCTCCTGCTGCTCTGTTGCTGCCGCTGCAGCTGCTGTCTGGCTGCTGTGGTCTTGCACCCACCTCTCCATTCTTGCTTCTGCTGCTACTGCGGTCTTCGAGCTATTCCTTTCTTGCTGCTGCTGTCGTGCTCCAGCTGTTTCTGCTTATTCTATTATGCTGCTGTCTCCGTTGCTACTGCTCCTGCTGCGCCTGCAGTTGCCTCCTTGTTGCCGCATTTTTGGTTGCTGGGTGGACAAAAGCCCAGCTGTATTTCAGCTTGGCTTTGAGGGACCGAAGCTGCAAAGCGGTGACACACAGCGGCAGCAGCAGCAAACGCACGCCTGCGTGAGATTGGATCTTCTTGCATGGAGAGAAGAGCTCAAAGTCTGCATCAAACCCTAGATCCTCATCAAATCACGAATGTTGTACACTGTCCTCTCAGGGATGAATTGTAGAGGCACAACTGTAACCAGAAAGGTCCAGCATTGGACCTGGGGGCTGAGGTTAGGGGATTTAGAAGGCGTACCTCTAGAGAGCGGCTCTGACCTCGCTCCTACGTAGTTCTATGCTTGCGACAATAGAAAAGCCTGCATCCCCTAGATCCTCAGCTCTAAACCCCAAACCCTCAACCCTAAACGTTCCTCTGTTTTTGTTGCAGCGGTCCAGGGAAGAGGCAGTGAGGCCAATGCTGTACGTACATATCCCTCAATCGGTTTTCCGTTCGCTGCTCTCAAAGCAACAGCGCCAAACAGCGACCAAGCACGTGCGATGCAAGACACAATAAGTCCAGTAATTAATTGCAGTTAAAGTGTACAAGGAGTATATAAAACAATATATATATATATATATATAT